TAAAACAAAGAAGCATTTATGTGCTTCCATTGGCTTTGCACAGCATTAGGTGAGAATACTTAAAGCCCAGGTTTCTACCTGAGGAAATATTTTTTCACAGAGTGGAAAATTAGACTCCCATATGGTCTTTAGCATTACTAAAACAAAGAAAACAGCAGAAAGAAAAAGAAAAAAGATATCGGACATTTCTGCAAGCATACCCAGAATCACCGTAATCAAAGTAATTGGCTGGAATACAAATCTTCATTTCCAGCCAGTTTCTGATTACTAGGAACTGCAATAGGCTTTCCAGGGCAGCCAATCTGTCTACTGTAGCTTCCATTCCCTCAAGATGACCATTCTCTGAAGCTGCATATTCAGTCAACAGATTTGATTCAGAAAGCTGGAAGTCAGAGTCTCCATTTTCAGTTGCCTGGATGACAAAGCTCCTATCACAGCTACTGGAGATTTAGTTAATTATCAGTGGAATCTTTATTTAATTGAGCAAATACTGGAATCTTCTTTAAATGGTTGTCAATCTTACTGTTGTCACATAGATTTGAGGGTCTCTAAACCTATCACTGAATCCCAATTTGAAGATACGGCAAGCTGAAGCCCTAATTCAAGTATTATCTGGTGCATTAATTACCATATTCCTAGAGGGCACCTTCCAGAAAAACAGTGAAATTATTTCCTCTGTTACTGCTAGACACAATTTGATAAAAGTTTAATCCAATCAGAATTTTCACTTTTCAGAATATGAGAAAGAAATAAGACATAAGTAAGAAATTGAGCATCCATGGTTCTATGTAAAATTCTTATATGAACTAGAAGTTGCTTAAAACAAATGCATAAAGGCTACTGTACATTGTAATACCTCAAAGCTAGAAATTCTACCCTGAAACTAGTATTTGCTATCATATTTATCACAGAGGAGCATAATTAAATGTTTTAAACATTAATTCGGATGAACTTAATACAGATGCAGCCACAGAATGTCTGCACATTTTATGAGAAACTAAGTTGGATTTATAATTACAAAGGGCATTTAAATCATGAATGTGGCTCAGCCATTGAAAGGCATCATGGTCAACATCTATAGATTTTTTCTTGTTGATGTACTTTAAAAGTTCCTCACCATAAAAAGCAGGACAAATGTAGATACCTAGTCCAAAAATTAGCCTGTCGAGACCTATTTAGGAAGAAATTACTTGGTCAAAGAATGATGAGGCACTGGTTCAGGCTGCCCAAAGAACCTGTGGTTGCCCCAACTCTGGAGGCATTCAAGGGCAGGTTAGATGGGTCCCTGGGCAGTCTGAGCTGGTGGGTGGAGGCCCTGCCAGAGGGTTGCAACTGCATGGTCTTTAAGGTTCGTTCCAACCCAAGCCATTTTGTGATTCTAAGGTGTTTCATAATTGCCTTTCTTGCCCCAAAGAATTTCATTATTTGAATGAACCTGTTCAAGAATCATTATTTAGTTAAAAAAAATCCAATTTCTCATGCCTACTAGAACATAAGTATACCACTAACATTGCACTTGCCTAAGACTCCATGCTTGCACACTGGAGACCATTATTTAGTCTCATTCAGTCTCAGTCTTGTTTAGTGAGCAGTGAAAATACTTTCCTAAAGGCACTTGAAATATTAGCAATTCATCTGCCATCCCTACAAACCAAGACATGTGAGGAATTGCAGCTCTGGGCAAAACTGGTCATTGCCCCATTTGTTCTCATGCAATAATAGGGGACGCTGATTCATCCTAATAGTGCTCCCAAGAGGCAACATGTTGTGCAGCTACACTCCTCAGGATGTGCAGAGAGAAGATAAACAATCCATCGAGGCAGAGGCAAAGCAAAGTGGATAAAACGTTCAGCAGAGCACTCAAAAACATCAGTAAGGACTCAGCATACACTGATCCCACCAAATTGTAGGCACAGGTAGAGCACAAGCCCCAGTAGACTCCTATGTGGCTGATGGGGCAGGCAATGTAAATCTCTGATGGGCTGAATCAACTTCTTCAGCTGGGTTTCTCCCTTCCTATGGACTAACGTGCAAGTGAAAAGAATCCAGCCATAAGGGTCTGATTTAAAGCCTGCTGAAGCCATAGGAAATCATTTCCTCTGTGTGTAAGGGCAGATAGAAATATAAAATGCATGTAATCTATTAGAAGCTACCCTAACACACTCTTGCTCACTAGGAACAATTTGCTGGAAATGATTTAGCTGTTCACTGAAAAATATAAAGAAAAAAGTAATAAAGAAAAAGTAATTGAAAAAGATAGGCTGTTTTAAGTTTAGTAGCTCCTGATTTTCATTAGGATCTATTTATTTACCTTAACATTCCCCTCAGCTTCAATTTGTTTGTAGCAAGAAAGGAAAAGTAATTCTGGTGAATAAACACTGATATTTAGTTACATAAAATATTCTACAAGCACGCACATCACAAATAAACTCAATCTTAAATGTGTGTTCAATTACTAATTTTAGGACTTGAGTTTTATCCAAAAAAGAGCATGGAAAATCTTGACACTTCTGTCCCCAAATACACAAATTGGAAGGGGCAAAAGAAGGCAAAACAGTAGCTTCCACAAGATGTGGAGTAGCAGCTTAAAGTATATTTCTTAAAAGTGTGTTTTTCTTTAAATACCACTGTACATCCTATGGTGGATATTAATTGTAGAATCACAGAATTACAAGGTTGGAAAGGACCTACAAGATCACCTAGTCCAACCATATCCCCTCTAATGAAGTCTATATCTGCTATTAGGCCAAAGAAAAAGAAGGAATACATTAACTACAGAAGGCAAGAGCTCAGGATTATTTTTTTTACTTTTTTAACACCCTCCAAAAAAATGCTAAGAGATCACTTACAACATCACTAAGTGACATAACACTTGTAAAACAGAAAGTAAAGGAAAAGGAACTTTAAGAAAGGTCAGATTATGCTTTTAAAGACAGAAGAACAAAATGTTTATTTTTATTTGTAAGGAGAACTGCAGGAAAGTACCACCACCTCCCCCTCAAAACTAAGTGTAGGCAAGGCCAGAGGCATCTTACTTTACTAAGTCATGTTGCTGGGGGACCAAGTTCAGCAAACACAAAGGAAGAAGCCAGAAGATTAAGTGAGATGATGACTATTACCATATTTCACAGTCGAGTCAGATGGCACTTCAGTCCTGAATTCAACACACCAGTTATTTTTCAAAATGAATTTTAGCACTCCTTAGAGAAAGCACAGTTTGCTCCAAATTACCCAGGACATGAAAATAAATTGGCTTCTGACTTTGTTCAAGCTGTAGGCCCCAAGATTTCTTTTTCACCGCAGTCTTCCCCAGAAACCTTGATGCTAGTTACAAAGCATGACTTTGGTGAACAGTGGATGGATTTAAAGGACACAACTTGAAATTGAAACACCAAACACTTGCTTTAAGAAACAGCAAGGAAAAAAAAGCCAAAATCATAACACCTCACTCTGTCAAAATTTCACCAAGAAGAATTTTGTGATGCAATAACTTCAATGCCACAGACTTCTTTTTCCCATTGAAGAAACTACAGTGAGTGAAGTTTAGAACATCAGGGGATGCTGAGTCTTACGTGTTGAGTATTCCTGAATAACAAGTTACAGTCATAGTTATTGGGATTGTCAATTCATGATCTTTGCACATCTCCTGATTCCTCAGCTTTCCTGATACCTGCCTGACAGCTGTAATTCTGTACAGGGGACAGACAGAAGCAGCTTCCCAGCAGTGAGAAGGACCTTTTTGCAAGGTGAGCTAATACATCACACCATCACCCCTCATCAGAGACCTTCAGTCAAATTAAGCTTTTTAATTAACATTAAATTAATCTTTTTAATTTTCAGCAAAGAAACTTATACTGACATAACAGTTTTGTCTGGATTTCAGAATGTCCTCTCTCTGTCCAGGGAGGTGATGGATGCCCTGTCCCTGGAAACACTCCAGGTCAGGCTGGATGGGGCTCTGAGCAACCCGATCAAGGTGTAGATGTCCCTGTTCATTGCAGGGAAGTTGGACTAGATGGCCTTTAAAGGTTCCCTCCATCTCAAACAGTTCTATGATTCTGTAACACGCTGGGCTGCCCAGGCTGATGTGAACACATCTTTTAAGTTCTCTGAATGTGTCAGTGGCTGTCTGGTAAGTACTAGCACAAGGAAGAGCTGACAAATCTTCGAGGAGCCCTGCACTGGACCACCTTGAATTATAATACTGACAGCACCGACCATCTGTGATAATACAAATCCTCAGGAAAAAAGAAAATCTGCTTTTTAATAGAGAATAAGGGATATGTAGGGATATGTAGTTTAAGAGAAATTATACTGCTGCAGTTACTGCTATAATTTGCTTCCCCATTGCTTTTTCTTGTTCAAAGAATTTACCTTCCCAGCATAGAAAGCGTGTCCAACATTTTCATTTAATTCCAGACATGCACTTAAACAATAGATGGCAAGACCTCTGTTCAGATCACACTTGTGAACTTACAAAACTGGGGATTTATGAAGACTCTTATTTCTTATACCACTATCAGATTCAAGGTACAGTTGTGAGGCCATTTTTTTCACGTAACTTAGAAATTGTTAAAATAAGGATATGATCAGTAGTGAAAAAAATTATAGAATAGACTTCAATATGACAGAATAGCAAAAATATTACGGGAAATTAAAGCAATAACATAATTACATTTGAATCAATCTACCACGCCACTTCAAAGACAAACTACAGGATAGAACCAAAAGTACTAATATCAAAGCTTGATAAATTTTTAATGCATTGTACCAGCATCTTTTGATGTAAATGTTACCTAATAGATAGATATCTAACCTTCCAAATTCCATTTAAAAAATTCATCTGCAAAGCTATCAATAGCTGATGAAATATGTCATTTTCAAATAAAGGACATTTCATTTCCAAACAGAGGACAATGAGAAGGTATTCAGAGGATTACTGTTTTACTGATAATGTTCTATCTGCAGCTTTCAAGACCAATATTATAATGGTTCCATACCGTGAAGCTGTTGTTGACATTTTTTGTGCTTGACTCAGCTACGCTGGCATCAGACAGGTCAACTTCATCAAATATTAGAGACTGTGAATGGAAAAGAACACAGAAATGTTAAATATAGCCTGGGTCCAATGTGAAGCATGCTTACACTCTTTGCTTTCATTTCCTCATGTCCACTCCAGCTGGAAGATAAAAACAAAATAAAAGCGAAAAAGAAAACACAGAAAACACTATTGAGGTGACAGAACTTCCTACCTCACCACCAAATACGTTTCTATTTGCTAACTAAGAGAACACAAAACAGTGACTCCCAAAATGCATACTGCACTTAGGTTTGAGGCAGCTCCAGATATGAGTACAGGCTGGGAGAAGAAGTCATTGAGAACAGCCATGACGAGAAGGACTTGTCTTGATGGACAAAAAGCTGGACATGAGTCAGCAGTGCATATCTGCAGCTTGAAAGGCCAACAGTTTCCTGGGCTGCATCAAAAAGAGGGGTGGCCAGCAAGGGAGGGGATTATCCCCTTCTACTCAGCCCTTGTGTGGCCCCATCTGGAGTACTGCATCCAGGCCTGGGGGTCCAGTACAGGAGGAATGTGATCCTCCAGAGAAAGGCCATGAAAATGATCAGAAGGCTGGACCACTTTCCCTGTGGAGAAAGACTGAGGGAGTTGGGATTGTTTAGCTTGGAGAAGAGAAAGATCTGAGGAGACCTCAATGCAGCCTTTCAGTACTTGAAGGGGGAAATTAATTTTTTACATGGTCTGATACTGATAGGAAAAAGGGGAATGGCTTTAACTAAAAGAGGGGAGATTTAAGTTAGATGATAGGAAGAAATTTTTTAGTCGGAGAGCGGTGAGGTGCTGGCACAGGCTGCCCAGAGAGGTTCTGGATGCCCCATTCCTGGAGACACTGAAGACCAGGTTGGATGGGGCCCTGGGCAGCCTGAGATGATGGGTGGCCATCCTGTCCATGGCAGGGGACTGGAGCTAGATATCTCTAAGGTCCCCTCCAACCTAAGTAAATCTGTGATTCTGTGACTAACAGAATCGCCTTGCTCTTTTTTAATCATATCCCACTCTTTCTCTTTTATGCTATAGGAAGTAGAAATAAAATAATTGCTTACTCTATGATCCAGCACGCAATCAGTTTTTGATGAGACTTAGCAAGTTTGGGGAGTCAGTGCTGCAGGGTATTCATGCAACTGCCTACTCATTGCTCCTCCTTTTCTCATCTTTATGACACAGATAACACTGCCATTTTCACAGCTCATATCTGTGGTGCTTTTTAAGACTTACAAACTGCTTGGGGTAGCAACAAATGCAGAAAAGTGTAATAGCACATGTACTTCAGTGCTAGACTCCCTGCAGAGACTACATCTTCCTTGATTCATCACAGCCGTACAAGTGTGTAGTATGTACCCATAGTCAAGAGTCATAGGAAGAGAGGTTTTAGTGCCTCAGTTATAGAATATTATTAAGAGGATTGGCTAGAGAAGTTGATGGAGACCTGAAGCACGTCACCTACATCTCCAGTCAGATGCTGCAACACCACAGGATACAGAAAAAGTAATGACCGTTGCTATGGAACAGCACGATCTGAGCCTCTTCAGCAAGGCAAAATGCTCTCATTCCAGTCATGAGGTGGAGAAAGGAAATGCCTTCAAGACAGGACAGAAGCATTCCTCTCTGCCCACCCCAGAATTTTCCACTACAAATTTCAATTGATAGGAAACACCTTTTCCCCACATAAATAAGTTCTGGCAGTAAAACTTCCTATTTCAATTTTGTGTAACCACTTTGACCCCTTTAAGAGCAATATGGACATCAAAACTGAAGAGCTTTAACGCAGTTTATGAGATAGCTTCTAAGCATTATTCGATTTTTACTTTTTTTGAAGTCATGGATTTGTTTGAGACCAACCACCCTCTAAGAACAACTGCAGAAGATGAATTAATAGTTGGTTTGAATAACCCAAGAAGTTAAAAGAACAGTGATAAACTTGACTTCCAAATATAAAAATCACGACATATCATGTCTTCCTTAATCAAAGCTAATTGAGCATACCGCTCCTTATGCACAATACTACTATTACTGAAACAATCACTAATAAATCATTAAATTATTGATATTCTAATTATAAACCTAAGCAAAATTGAAGTACATGGCATTAGATGCTAGTATCACTGAATTACCTTCGAATCCTTAGCATAGTAAAGGGTACGACCTCGAAGCTTGAAGTAACGCTTTTTCCACCTCTGAAAAGAACTGGTTTGCTTCAGTAGTAATCCTTCTTTTATACTTGTCTGAAAAATATTAAAATACAGTAGACAAGGTAAGTACATACCTAAATAGCTAAGCATATAGATCAAAGTTATTAGGTTTTTTTTCTATTATTTATGTTACAAATATTGTATAGATTTCTAACTATTCACATTAAATTGAGACTAACTCTATGGGCAACCAAAAAGCACAGCTATTTTTTCAACAATGCTAATTTTGCATGAAAAACAGAAAGGCAATCAAGCGGCATATAATTGTTGTGAAGATCACCACAACACAATTCAAGTGTTTGGATAGCTACAAAACCACAAATTAAAGCAAGAGCCAACTGGTGGTGGCACAACGCAGACAAATGCTAAAACCAACCTACGTGAGGTCATTTCCAGTGCCAGAGTTTGATTCCACTGAGCAGAGAAACGATCACCACATGAGCCATAATTCAACAAGGTGCTTAAAAGTGTCTCGTTCAAGCATAGCAATTATGCAAGTTGTGCATGACTCCAAGTACCTTGCTGAACTAAGGTCTTCAGCACGCACCCAGCGTACAAATACAATTACAGAATCACAGAATCACAAGGTTGGAAAGGACCTACAGGATCTAGTCCAATAGTCCTTCCATCACCACTGCTACCACAAGCACTAAACCATATCTCGTAGCTCCGCATCCAGGCGCCTCTTGAACACTGCCAGGAATGGCGACTCCACCACCTCCCTGGGCAGCCATTCCAGTGCCTGACCACTTCGAGAGAAAAAGTTCTTCCTCAAGTCTAGCCTAAACCTCCTCTGATACAACTTGTGGCCGTTTCCTTGGAATCCTGTTTGTTGTTTGGGAGAAGAGGCCAAACTCCTCCTCATTCCAGCCTCCCTTCAGGCAGTTGTAGAGTGCAGTGAGGTCTCCCTGAGCCTTCTCTTCTCCAAGCTGATCAATCCCAGCTCCCTCAGCCGCTCCTCATAAGACTTGTGCTTCAGATCCAAACCATTCCATTCCAAACTGAACCCTGCATATGTACAGCCCATGCCTTGAAATTCAGAAAGTGCAAATTACTGCATTTTAGATGCGCACACAGCTTTAGCCACCATGTGTGAGATTCATCAACCTGATGACATAATTCTCCACTCAATCAGACAAAATGACACCACACAGCTAGTTAATGGCATGAATCCTGCAATCCATTTTCTTCAGCTTTCAAGCTTGCAAAGAATATGAGAAATCGTAAGTGCATTTGGATATTATATTCCAAAATGGTCTCTAATGCATAAGATTTCCCATTTGTACTGCAGAAATGCAATGCAAATCTTGTAATACAATTTCTAGACAACATGATATAAATATCATCTGAAGTTATTCTAGACTTTTCGAGGCTTAATCTGACCTGATTTAAAGTTCATAAACATTTTTGTCCGATATGATGTATAAAATTGCCCTAAACTTCAATGCAAGTTAATAAAAATACGGAAAACCCAGAAAGCACTGAAACGCTCCTACCATTTCCTTTGAATGAGAGGCATCATTGCTATGAACATCTCACCCTTCATTTAGATATTTCTAATGCAATAAACTCTGAATACAGCCCTATGACCACAAAGCAATTGAATTAACGCTCTCTAAAAGGCAGTCCTCTCAGAGGAGATACTGTGGATGAAAGTTTTGCTGCATTTACATGTCAGTGGTTCAGAACATGGCATCCTGTCAGCCATTCCTTTCAAGCTAAAGAGTAGCAATTCCCAACTGCAAAGGAATGGAAAGCATGCTTGACACTCACAACTTCATACTGCCTGCAATTTTCTGACCAGGCCCAAAGATAAGCTATTTTTACATGACATAAATAGATTTAATCAGTTAGCAAGCATCCAGTTGCAAGCACATATTCAAAGCTGTTTAGTGTAGCCATGCAGCACTTGAGTTTTGCAGTGCTCCTTGAAATTTCCAGTTATCACACAGGATGGGATTAGATGGCTTCCGTGTTTGTCAAGGGAAACAATAATTCACCTGCATAGTAAGTACCGTTTTAGGGAAAAAGCTTCCCAAATGGAAGGAAATCCGTGTTCACTGAAACACACTAAACATTCTAAGAAAATCAGAACATAAATATTACATTGCATACTATCAGGAATTTTTAAAATCTGGTCAAAGAATATTAAACCTCTTTAGACCTTGATTTATTACTTGCTAAAAATGAAATTTATTCTTTCATGCCATTTTTGCACTTACGAAAGGTGTAAAAAATAAAGAGAAATGCCCATTTCTCCTTATTTCTATTCATCTCTTAGAACACTTCTATCCCTAAATTCAAACCAAGAGTTTCTACATTAAATCCATTTTGCATTTAGCCCCTTGAAATTAACTCATCACAATCAAATAACCGTGCAGGCTCTGTAGAATGTATTTTTGTATTGAAATGCTAGAAAAATACCAGATTGATAAATATTTCCCTGAGGAATGTAAGCACCTCATGAAACATACATCTGAAGTCTACATTTTACCACAAATATGTATCCTGGACTGAAACTTAAGCATGTCAAATAGCCAATTCCACAGCTGCAGACTCCAAATTTGAGCCTAAAGCTTTGGCCCAGTATCTTTAATTAACTTTATTTAGCTTTTAAAATGTGCAGAAAACCCCCAGCTGCTGACTGAGTCGTTAGTTAATCTGCTAATAAGGCTTTCCTGCATCTACATAAAAGCCACAACACTTACAGGAATTTAAGACTGGATGGGACCTCCCAGGGCACTGAATTTGAATACGTACAGCCAGGTCATGTAAAGTTTTTTAAAAACATTCATCAGGATATAGCTACATCAGAAGAAAGCATTCAGTACCTTCTCTCTCACAATTGCAGGTGGAGCAGTGCTCCAAGATCCCACTGTTCTGAGAAACCTTCTTCTAATTAATCTCAGCTGGACATTAAATCTGAAGCATAAGCAATAATCGTTGCCAATTACATTAACTGCTTGCCTACTGCAATGTAGAAGAGACAAAAAGATGCACATCCCACAGTTCTATACTACTTATCACATTTAGAGAATCACTGCTCATCTGCTTGCCAGTCTCCGGCTTCCTCATTCAGCCATTTGTACAACCCAGTAATACAACATCCCTCCGGAGGTATGCAGCTATAATAAAGGCACACGGTTAATGAGTACAACAAAGGCTCACAGTTAATATGAACGACATCACAGTACGGTTTCCCTTAGTTACCAATGAGCTTGGACATGCTTCAATGCAAGGCCGAATTAACAGCTAACAATCTCTACTACTTCAGCCATTAACAATTGGAAAAATGATGCACAGCATTACAATCACATCACAGCACTCCACAGTTGCGTATTTTCCTAAAGAAATGTAATTATCATATTACATTTTATACAGCTAAGAAGGTTTAAATTTATAGTCAACAATTCAAGAACGCGGGATGCAACTCTGCATCACAGTAATCTGAATGATAATAATAAATGGGATTTGTGCACATCTAGATCTTGAAAAGACTTTGAGGCATCTTCTTTCATATCAGCAGATTTTTAAATCTTCCATATCTAATATTTGAATATTCAGAAACAACTGGTTTTGTTTCAAAGAGACTCAACTACACCGCCTTACTCCTGATTCACTCATTTTGTGATGTCCTACATTTGTGCCAAAATCAAAATTTGTAATTCTGTTCCTTCAAGAAAGATCCTATGAAAGGAGAAAACATTTTGAACTTAAAAATAGTGAACTGTCTATAGTAACTAACAGTGAACTTTCTGTTGCATTTTACTGGCAACTGCAAGTGAAAACACTGAATAATTAAGCATAAAACTCTGCCCTTGTTTTAGTGTATGTAACGGCATGTGCTATTCAGAATGTGTCAGGAGACTGCAGAAGACAACATCAGGAAATGCCTGAAAATGAACAGAATGAAAAAGAGAACCGGAAAGGCCATAAAACAAGGCAGATTAAATGTAAACAGGAAATTAAGAGGATGAAGAAGAATTTTAAGATCACCTTGCAACAGATGCACACGCTGAGACCAAAACATCCTTTAAATACTTTGAGAGATGAAAGGCAGCCAAGCAGTTGCCAGGATCATTTTCCAACAGAGGCATGAAAAGAGCACTAAAGAAAGGGAAGATCACAGCAAAGAAATTCAGCAAATTGTTGGCATCCATCATTACTGATGAAGATGATGAGTCGGCTTCTCACACAACACCTCTTTCTAACATCACAGTAGCTACATCAACATTGCATAGGAAATACTGGACCTGCTGAATCACCAAGTCATGTGCCTCAGATGGCACTGACCCTTGAGTTCTGAAGATCCTGAAAGGACTACTAATAGTAAATTCCATTGCTGGTAACATAGAAGAGTCCAAGTGGAAGAATAATATTGCTGAGCCCACACATATCTGGGGGGAAAAATCAATGAGCTTTTGCAAAGGAAAATATTGCCTTATTACTGGCAGGAACTCAGAGTGGCATGGAAGCATGTGGGTAAACGAAGATCCAGTTGACTTGTGTTTTCAGAACAAGGCATCCCAATAAAGATTACTGAAGAAAGTAACAGAATGGAATTGAAAAAAGGGGATTTTTATGGACCTAAAGCAATAGGAAGCACAAGTATGACTTATAATTCACTTTTTGCTGGAAAAAGTCTTAACAATAGGATTCCCACGGAATGAGGACTAGGACCAAGTCTGTTCAACTTCATTGACCCAAAGAAGGACCACACAGAAAAATCTGAAGATCTGTGGTTAAATTTCACGTAAATGGTAAAGATCTTAAAGTTTTAAAACTGAACAGGTGGTCTAACGTGTAGAAGATAACCTTCAGTCCAAGTCAGTATAAGATTACTTGATTAGGGAAGAATAATCTGATCCTCACTAACATTCTCACATGAACTTTGAGTGGAGAAAAGACTTCTTCAAGTCATAGTTGATAGTTCTCTAAAATCCTCAGTTCAGTGTTCAACCACAGCCATAAATGCCAACTAAATGCTGGGTGTCATTGTGAAAGGTGACAAATAAAGACCAGCTTAACAAAGA